TGGCCCCAGTTGCTAAACATGTAGTTCATGTAGGCGCCCAATGATCCGCCACAATAATTAAACTTAAAAAGATCATGGCGGTAAGCTGTAGGATTGCGCTCTGTACACATCCTAAGCTCAATGTCACAAATATAACAGTAATCGGGGGAAAAAGGGTAAGCTCTCTCTAGTCTATTCATGTGCAGGTTAGTGCGTTTATAGCTCTTGTACTTATCTAACAATTCCTCCAAGTCCTTTCGATAGTGATCCACCATGTTGCTGACAGAAGCTACTCGAAGGTCAAGGTTCTTTTCTTTCTTCGATCCGTATCCCGCCATCATGAGCCGCGCCTCGTGGATTAGCATCTGCGCATGGAACGTCGCGCCGTTGGTCCAGATCTTCATGGCGCGGGAGCTCATTTGGCCGTCCTTCAGCATGGAGTTCCTCAGGCGGGTCAGCTGCTCACTCAGCTGTTTCTCCAGACGTTTGGTCTCTTCTAGCGCCTGTTCTGGTTCCCACACATACTTTTGGAGGCGTTTCAGGTACTCGTCCATGGAGTCTCTGACCCCCGAGGCCTTTTCCTCAGCGAAGACCCGGCGCATCATGTTCAGGGGGCTGTCCTCAGGAACCGTGACCAAAGAACTGACCGTGAGGTCTAATAGGAAGGAGATGACCAACGCGCCCAATCCAACTGCGTTTGAACATGTTTGAAAGCAGATAAAGAGGAGCCCAGGTCGTTCATATAGTCTGGAACTTTGCTCACCAGGTCACTGACCATCTGAGAACTGTAGTGTTCTAGTACAGCTGTTGAATCCAGTCCTGAGTACATCAGTAAGGAGCCGTCGATGGTAATATCAGGAACCACACCACATCTCTCAGCTATATGGAACATATCTGAGATCATGATCTCTTCCTCTTCCTTACTGTAACCGTAACCCATGGTGATGACCAGAGAGCTCAAATGCAACGTGGAGGAAAAGTAATAATACTGTGTTCCTTTTCGTTAGGATGTAGGAGGATTAAACTAACTTGTGGTTCAGGGATAGGGTGGTGTTCGCAGAAGAGTGCTGGTCAGAGCAATGGAATCACAGTAAGGGATGTTGTCTTTCATTAAGTTTACTTCTTCAAAGCAGCAGTTAGCAGTACAATAATGAAACAGTGTGCACAGGCCAATCCAGTATGTTTCTCATTAAGTAAACTGTAGCTGAAATAACTCCAACTCTGTCTGGGTGTGGTTCTAAAATGAATACAATCGAGAAAAACAATTACTAAACATTACTTAAGTGTGAACCTATGTACGATAGTTAGACCATTTAGCAACTAGATGGCGCCACAGGATCACGAATGAATTTGCGTGTAATAGCCCGAGGGCGTTCTCTTAACATACGCAGCAGTAATAAAGTTATAATCTCAGCAAACAGGATGGCAGCGTAATATAAAGTTACGTGAACATAACATGGTGCAGAAAACTACCATATAAACAATCGAAATTAAATTAACGACATCAAATACGGGAATGATATTATACTCACTGAACTTCTTATTAATTATTAAGAACTTCAGCCTTTCCTGGGAGCTGCTGTAAAGTACGTTGTATGCCGTGACAGCGTTTCGACAGAGTGACGCCGCTCTGAATTCCGCTACTAGCCTACTGTAGTACTGTCACTATCACTACCTAAAATGTTACACCTACCGAAAATGTAACTTCCGCTAGTACGCATGCGCACGCTTACTACTTCTGGAAGGAGGCGTACTATTTTTACGGCATCGCGTCACATTTCATCATGATTTTTGATGAGAATGTCGACAGCGAGAGGAAAGGGAAGATTTTTTTGTTTGTTTTTTTTTTTAAACTTTAACTTTATTTCAATACAAAAGTATTACAAGGCACATTTTACAGAGAAATAATTAACAATGGANTTAGTTACTGTAATGTTGCGCTGCTTTATTTGTTTAATTGTCCAGTCTGTGAAGAGATTATTTTAGGGTGACGCATGTCCCTGAGGCTATCCCATTGGTGCGCCCCCCCCCTCCCCCCGCAATACCTCTGCGCCCCCCAGTTTGGGAACTACTGCTCTAGTGTGTTATGAGCTCTAGTCTAGGGTTGGAGCCCGACATAAAGGAAAGGGAAAGGGTAGAGTGGGACAAACAGGGAACGGGAAAAGGGAACACAAGTAAACAAAGGGATATTTTTTGTATTTTTATATTTTATTCACCCCACACGGACACTTTACAAATCACCTGGGTCAACAAGACTTCGGGAGTGACCAAGGCCAAAACAACAAACAAAACACCTACCGAACACGTCCCAAATCTAGTCTAAACCTAAGTGCAACGAAAACTACAGTCCTAGAACCTGACTCCCTAACCAAACGAACAATAAACCAACACACGTCACATTAACAAAAAATGGCAGTCACTCCTTACGCACCAATTCACTCACACAAAATCCGAAACGACAGTGTCTGAGGGGGCGAGCAAAAGAGTAATCAGTAACCAGGCGGAAGATTGAAACCAGAAATGAAAACAAACCAGGTAAAAGTACAGAAAGGGGCAAGGCGAAAATCAGAAAACTAATAAACAAAACCGTCATACACAATAATCGAAAACAATAAAGGAAACCAACAATGATTGAAGTAATGAGCAGAGCTGGGGTGGTTAACAGCGGCCTTTTTTCCTCAGGGTCCAGAATTCAGGAGCCATGCAGGGGATGGAAGGCGGCGTGGCCGGAATCCAGAAGGCGGCGCCAGGGCAGAGCTGAAGAGGCAGCTGGCTGAAGGCAAAACCGGGCCACACACAGACACAACACAGGATTCCCTTATGGCATGTAACACACCCCCACACAAGAGTGAACCCAGCAGGCTCACCAATAAATAAAAGAACAGAAAACTTCCACAAATAACCAAAGACGACCAGGTATTAAGTCCTCGTAGAGGGCAACTGCTACAAGGTTACTGGCCCCCTTTTTGTGTTTAATCTCCACGTTGAACGATTGGACGATTAGAGCCCAGTGCATGAGGCACTGGTTAGTATTGCACATACGGGTCAGAAAAACTAATGGATTGTGGTCCATGTAACAAGGTTCCCGCGGGGTCTTAAAAAGTCTAAAATTCAGAAAGTTAAATATAAGGCCTTAAAATGTCTTAAAAATGCCCAGATTTTCATCCTAGGTCTTAAATTTAATTTACCCAAGTCTTAAAATTCTTACCTCCGTTCATTCCCAAAATGCGTTGTCCGCAGAAAATAAAATAGTAAAACGCTGTAAAACTAATCCGCTGGTTGTGCTTTCTGGTCTGCACCGGTGTCTGCGTGGTAATAAAACTACAAATCCCATCGCGTGATCACTGCAGCTAGGCAAACAAACAGTTTGAGACGGGTCTGGCTGCAGAACGTGCACTTTCAGCCACTGACGTCAGGTGCATGCTCAGCCACAACAGAAAGTGCAGGGGAATCAAGCGCTAACTTCTTACTAAGTTCTTGAGGCCAATGTGAACGGTATGTTGTTTTATTATTTGTATTACTGAATGATATAGTTACAAGTTTATTTCATGCCATACAGTATTGCAATGTAAATGTTTTGATGTAGTGCGTTAGTAACTTTTTTCTCTAATGACTGGAGTGAATTTTTTCAGTTAAACGGCAACTACTACCCAGTTGGTTCACGTTATCTTATCATAAAATAAACACATTTCTACTTTTACAGAGCTTTTCATGGAGTTACCTTGTGAATGTCTTAGTTTCCAGCATATAGTTTTTAGTTGTTCATGTGGTCTTGAGGAGAATGTTTCTCGGTCTCCTTATGGTAGGGCAAGGCAAGTTTTTATTGTCATACACATTGGTTATTTAATATGCTTTATAAAAACAAGATTTTAAAAAGTTAAACCAAGACAAAAAGGCAAAATAAAGATGAAAAAAAACTTATTTCAATAAAAAATTGCTTAGAAAATCTAAAAAATTTGATTAAAAGTGCAGTATGTCCTGCCCCGCTCGTCCGCTACTCCCGTGTGCCATGCCCCCTCGTTAACCCCGTGTGGATTCCTCGTGTTTATCAGCTGTTTCCAGTTGTTTTCATTATCACTGATGGGTCTGGAATGTAACTTCCGCGATAGGCGGGGTATCACTGTAAATTTTAAGGCTTAAACTATAAAAAAGTTTATGTATATGGTCTTTCTATATTATGGATTTTCACCTATAGCTGATGGGTCTGGAATGTAACTTCCGTGTTTATGTATATGGTCTTTCTGTATCGCGGATTTTCACCTATGGCTGATGGGTCTGGATCCCCCGTCTATCGCGGAAGTTACGTTCCAGACCCATCAGCGATAGGTGAAAATCCGCNAAAAAAGCACTGAAAACATGTAATGCTCTAAAATTATTGAAATTTATGTAATGTATTTTCTTTTCTTTTTTTTTCTATTTTATTCCTTCTTTTTCTCTAGCAGCTAATGTTAACTTGACATGATTGTGTAATACCTCTTGTTCCTGTGGCACTGAGTTAATAATAAAAAAAATTAAAAAAAAAAAAAAGAACAGAAAGCTAACATAGGCCGAAGGTTAAGCGTGTTAAATGAAAGGCAGCGGGATAATTCCCCATAATGGCGCACTATAACAAAATCAAACGTCAGGGACGTCTACGACAAACGCAGATTGTTGACTAGTGCGGAAACTGCCTTTTGGATACCGAACTGTAAAAACTAGCAGCATCGCAAAAAGGGTGTTGTAAGTCTTTAAAAATATTTCATCGAATGAATTTCCCAGCAGGCATCCGACATTGTCACGACGTTGAATAACAGCTGAAATCCTGTTTTTATGTTGACAACATTGTTTCAACGTAAATATGATGCTGAGATTTCAATAATTGCTGTGAGCATGCAGTAACAGCATTGCCACTATGTTGATCTCGTGTCGAAGTATAACAATATAATATATTATTTTTAAAAGTTGAAAAATCATTCTGGTAGCACTCTGCAAACATTTATTAATATTCTGCAGATATACTTTTTAAAAATGCTGTAATCTCTCGGTTTGGGCTGAGCGCCGAACCGCCTTCGCGCATGCGCACTTTCTGCATTCTCCAACGGTCTCCCGCTTGAGCGCGCTTCTGGTTTTAGAAACACTCGGAACCGATCGAAGAGGTGGATCTTTTAGGCGCAGGCAATCCAAAAGGTAAGCATAGGCAATCATGAAGTTGACCAACGTCTAATGTAAAAGTTAATATTCATTTATTTATTTGTTATTTGTGAGGCCGATCTTTCGTGTTCTTTTAGTTGAAATTAGTGAGTTTGGCGCCATCGCGTCAGCTTGTTAGCTGCTATTGATGCTATTTCACAAAACGTCTGTATCAGTCAGGTTGACGTTGTTTTAAAATGGTAGTTGGCATAGAAAACATTTTAAGCGATATGGATATAACATATTTTAAACCGCTAGTGTGGGCTCTCGGTGAAGGAATTTCATTGTTTACAAAATGGTGGTTTAATTGCTAGCCTTGTAGGTCTATTCAAATGACATTTGTCAGAAACCAGCTTCTACATTTGCGTAGAATTTATCTTTAACGGCTAATTTGGTACACACCTGATGGTATTTTTTGCCAGTCTGGTAAAGTTAATTGACTTTTTGTTCGTAGGTCATGAAACACTGCAATTCATTTACACGAGGGCTAGAAGTATGGCATCCGGATATCTTAAAAGATGGAGAAAATTAAACGCTGAAGTTGATGCCTTAGCAGCATTTAAGTGTAGTGAAAGTGCGGATTCAAGTGAAAGTACTGTAGAGATAAGTAGATCCGTCCCATGTCAGTCTGTCGAAACAGAAGAGAACGTTCAGTTATTAGAGTGTCCCTCTTTTACTGAGAGTCCATTTAGGGATCCATCATTAGAACTTGACTGTAGTTTAAATGATACTGTTGAATCAAGTGTCAGGGTATTGTGTATTGTTTAGTGTGTTATATCATCCACCCGCTAGGGTGCCTCAGTGAGATATACATATCGGCAGGCGCCAGGCAGGGACAAGGGTTGTCTCGGTCGGACGTGGTCTGTAAAAGAGCACACGGAATTGTGTACTGTTCCACTGCAGTCGTAATAAATAAGAAAGCCACGAATAAATGCCTCCTGGTAAATAAACACAAGACATCAAGTTCCACCAGTTCGGATTCGGGTGAAGATTTTGACCTTATAGGAGATCTTTCAGCCTGGTCTATAAAACACAGATGTAGCCGAGAAGCCGTAAATGAGTTGTTGTGCATTCTAAAGCGACACGGTCAAGTTGTTCCAAAAGATTCTCGTACTTTACAGGGTACACCCAAATTTGTATCAGTTGATGATAAATGTGGCGGACAGT